ATTTTACCAAAACCAACAGCTTTAAAACTTATGACTTTTCAACTTTATAGACAACCATTCCCACCGATAAATAAAAGTCCAGGCTTTTTGATGTCATTGACAGCGGCTTTTTTAAAATAAAAATGGAACTCCTAAATTTACTTAGCTAGTCATTGGTCATTTGCAAAATTATTTTGTATAAACACATTCTGATAGCACACACAAATACTCTGAAGTTGACATCAAAGAGATGCTAGAGTTTCTGATTGACAATATCTATGTGGTTTTTTTAGACCAAGTATTTCAACAATCTATTGGAATTCCAATGGGTACCAATTGTGCTCCGTTATTAGCGGACCAATTTTTTTATTCATATGAAGAAGAATTTGTGCAAAATCTTATGCGTGAAAAGAAGAAAACACTTGCTGTGGCCTTCAACTCGGCATTTTGATATATCGGCGACGTTTTGTCAATTAATAATTGTCATTTCCATTCCTACGTTGATACGATATATTCTGGTGAGCTTGAGATAAAGGATACCACAGAGTCTGACACATCTGTTTCATACTTAAATATTTTACTTGAAAAAGACGTTAATGGTAATCTAACAACCAAGCTATATGATAAATGTGATGACTTTAACTTTTCTATTGTCAACTTCCCTTACTTATGCAGCAGTATATACCTTCATCACCTGCATACGGAGTATATATATATATCTCAGTTGATTTGATACGCAAGAATTTGCTCTACGTATGAACAATTTCTAAAACGTGGTAAATTATTGACAAGTAAGTTGTTGAAACAAGAATATCAGCCGTCTCGTTTAAAGTCACCATTTGGTAAGTTCTATGGTCGACACAATCACTTTGTCAGCAAATACAATTTATCACTGAGTCAAATGCTGACTGACGTTTTTCATACTAATTGTTAGTTCATTATTTATACACTGAATTGACAACGGATTATTCCATTACTTCCTGATCATAACAAGGACTACACGGCGGGTGTGACCGATCAGCAGGGCATGCTTACTCCTCAATGGCACCTGACCCCACCTCTGATGTTTCGGAGGTCCGTGTTTGCTCTGCTCTTCTTTTGTATTGTTTTAAGGACTTTGAGATTGAATGCTGTTCGTTATTTCCATATCCTTCTTATATTGATTTCACAGTATCATATGAAAGAATCACAATTAAAAACTTTGGGAATATTTTCTTGGTTATTATACTAGGCCAGTCAGAAAGGACTTAAGAAATATATACTTTAAAATTAGCCTGAATGTGATACAAAATATTGTTGAAATTTGAAATGGGTCATTTTGAGGGCTTTTTTTTTGTAAAACCTACAAATGAACCTAAATAATGACGCCATAGTTACAGAGGGTCTTCCTTCATTCTATATTCTTTCATTATTCTTTCATTATTTATCACATTTATACATAACACTATCTAACTTATATTTGAGCCGTCGCCCTCATGCGGCATTGGTAGAGCGTCTACTCTAGAGTGTCAGAGTAAGGGCTTTATCCTAACCTTGCGGGTTCGAATCACACAGTGGGACATGGAGACCGGTCCGTCGGATGAGACCGTATAAACTGAGGTCATGTGTCGCAGTAGATGCTGGCAAAAAGAACTCTTATTGCTCAATGGCCCTGCATGCGGTTAAAACATGCAGCTCTCCATCTCCGGCCTCTCCACATCATGAGTGAAAAATTCTCGAGAGGGACGTTAAACAACAAACAAGGAAACATATATTTTTAAGCTAATTTTTGACTCTTGGTAAACATTTAATTTTAAGGGTGTAATGTTTTTATTAGGTAATGTTTAAGGTCTTTTCTCAGTTGAAGACCTACTGATTCTGTTGTTTCTTTTCCACCAGTATTATATTTATCATATTCTCCCTCACTTCGTTCGTCCGAATATAAATTAACTAAGTGCTAAATAATCAACAAACACATGTGTCGTAAACAGGGTGCTGCTGGCAAGCTCTTTATTTTCAATATATACATAACCTCAAGCCACATGCCAATACCAAATCATCTATAGAAAAATCCATTCGTATATCGTCCATTTTTTTAGCTCTACTGGTCAGAGACCAGAAGAGCTTATGCGATAGTAATGCGTCCGTCGTCCGTCCGTCTGTCTGTCTGTCCGTCTGTCTGTAAACAATTTTTCAAAACGCTACTCCTCCTACAATTTTAGTCTGATTTCAATATTACTTGGCACACAAGTAGACTACACTGTCTGAACGGCGTTGCCATGGTTACTAAAAATTTTTCTGTGAAATTCATTAAAAACGCTACTCCTTCTACAGTTTTGGTCTGATTTCAATATTACTTGGCACACAAGTAGACTACACAAGGATACATATAATAGTGCATCGGTTTTTGATTTCGATGAACGGTGTTGCCATGGTTACTAAAAATAGAATTTTCTGTGAAATTCCTTGAAAACGCTACTCCTTCTACAGTTTTGGTCTGATTTCAATATTACTTGGCACACAAGTAGACTACACTAAGATACATAGAATAGTGCATCGGTTTTTAATTTTGTTGAACGATGTTGCCATGTTTCCTTTAAGACGCTTTTCTAATTTCGACACAAGTGAACGGTGCATCGTTGCCATGGTTACTAAAAATAGAATTTTCTGTGAAATTCCTTAAAAACGTTTTGGTCTATTTCAATATAACTTGGCACACAAGTTCTACAGTTTTGATGAACGGCGTTGCCATGATTTCAATATAACTTGGCACACACAAGTAGACTACACAAAGATACATATAATAGTGCATAGGTTTTTGATTTCGATGAACGGTGTTGCTATGGTTACTAAAAATAGAATTTTCTGTGAAATTCCTTGAAAACGCTACTCCTTCTACAGTTTTGGTCTGATTTCAATATTACTTGGCACACAAGTAGACTACACTAAGATACATAGAATAGTGCATCGGTTTTTAATTTTGTTGAACGATGTTGCCATGGTTACTAAAAATAGAATTTTCTGAGAAATTCCTTTAAGACGCTACTCCTTCTACAGTTTTGGTCTGATTTCAATATAACTTGGCACACAAGTAGACTACACAAAGATACATATAATAGTGCATCGGTTTTTGATTCCGATGAACGGTGTTGCCGTGGTTACTAAAAATAGAATTTTCTGTGAAATTCCTTGAAAACGCTACTCCTTCTACAGTTTTGGTCTGATTTCAATATAACTTGGCACACAAGTAGACTACACTAAGATACATAGAATAGTGCATCGGTTTTTAATTTTGTTGAACGATGTTGCCATGGTTACTAAAAATAGAATTTTCTGAGAAATTCCTTTAAGACGCTACTCCTTCTACAGTTTTGGTCTGATTTCAATATAACTTGGCACACAAGTAGACTACACTAAGATACATAGAATAGTGTAACGGTTTTTGATTTCGATGAACGGTGTTACCATGGTTACTAAAAATAGAATTTTCTGTGAAATTCCTTTAAAACGCTACTCCTTCTACAGTTTTAGTTTGATTTCAAAATAAGTTGGCACACAAGTAGACTACACAAAGATACATAAAATAGTGCAATGGTTTTTGATAAGTACAGACCAGTAGAGCTACAGTCTCGAAAGAGACTTCTGGTTACACAAAATGTTCTTATACACAGTGTACCTTACTACCTAACAACTTGATATTCAAAGAACCGAGCGAGCTTAGATAAACGCCTAACTCTGCGAACTGCTATTCATACCAGCAAATCACGTGACCGTAAATTTTGAACACGCGACAACTACGGCCGCACATCAGTATAATTATTTTGTTACCAATTTTGTTTAGACAATTTCATGAGAACGATTCGATACATTTTCATGGAAATTTCAACTTTGATTCCAAATTATCTGAACTTGATACATTTTTTTGATTTTTGTCACTTCCGGTCGCATGATACAGCGACTTTTTCTTTTTTAATGTAGCATTTTCCCTAGATCAAGTAATACTTCTTTTGAATTGAAACAGATACAAGTAAGTTATATCTAAATATTTCTCAGCTAGTGACAGTCAAACATATGGTGGAGATTACATAGAAAAGTGTAGTGGAAACTGTTTGAATGGTGAAACATGTGATCGGTTTACAGGAAAATGTAGTTCTTGTTCTGCAGGATGGAAAGGTCCAATGTGTAATATTTGTAAGTATAAATATGCTTATAACCTTACATTTTTCCTGTTTAAACAGTTTCATATGAAGGAATAAAAAATAAAAACGTTTTGGATATTTTCTTGGTTATAATACCAGGCCAGTTGAAATGGACTTAAAAATATATATTTTAAGATCAGCCTCATTGTGATACAAAAATGGAGTGCAAATTTGAAATGGGTCAATTAGCTGACTATTTTTTGGGGTAAAAACCTACAAATGAACCGAAATAATGACGGCAATGTTACAGAAGGTCTCCCTTCATTCCATATTCTTTCATTATTTATCACATTCATAGATTACACTGTCAAACTCATATTTAAGCCATCGCCCTCGTGGCGCATTGGTAAAGTGTTCACTCTAGAGTTGCAGAGTAAGGACTTTATCCTAACCTTGCGGGTTCAAATCACACAGTGGGACATGGAGACCGGTCCGTCGAATGAGACCGTATAAACTGAGGTCCCTGTCGCAGAAGATGCTGGCAAAAAAAAAAAAAACTCTCGTTGCTCAATGGCCCTGAATGCGGTTAAAACTTGCAGATCTCCATCTGCAGCCTCTCAATATGAATGAAAATTCTCGAGAGGGACGTTAAACAACAAACAAGCAAACATATTTAAGCTAATTTTTTACTCTTTGTAAACATTTTTATTTTTAAGGGCACAATTTTTTTTATTAGATTATGTTTAAGGTCTTTTGTTTTCAGTGGAAAACCTATTGATTCTGTGGTTTCTTTTCCAAGAGTAATTAAATTATTATTTTGTTGTAAATTTTGTTTAGACGATTTTTTAAGAACGGTTCGATACATTTTCATGGAATTTTCAACTTTGATTCCAAATTATCTCAACTTGATGCAATTTTAGCTCACCTAAGCTGATAGCTCAAGTGGGCTTTTCTGATCACATTTTGTCTGTCCTCTGTCCGTCCGTCTGTCTGTCCGTCTGTAAACTTTTCACATTTTCGACTTCTTCTCAAGAACCACTGGGCCATTATTTACCAAAATTGGTACAAAGACTCCTTGGGTAAAGGGAAATTTAATTGGGTAAAGGGAAATTTTAAATTTTTAAAATTGAGGGCCAAGTCCCCTCACAAGGGGAGATAAACAAGAAAAGACAAAAATGGGGTGGGGTCATAAAAAAATCTTCTGAAGAACCACTGGACCAGAAAAGCTGAAACTTATGTGGACAAATTCTAGGGTAGTGTAGATTCTAAATTATTAAAATCATGACCTCCGGGGGTTGGGTGGGGCCACAATTGGGAATCAAAGTTTTACAGAGAAATAAATGGGAAAAATCTTTAAAATTCTTCTTCTGAAGAACCACTGGGCCAGAAAAGCTGAAACTTATGTGGAAGCATCCTGATGTAGTGTATATTTTAAATTGCTCAAATAATGACCCCAGGGGTAGGGCGGGGCCACAATGGGGAATCAAAGTTTTACATAGAAATATAAATTAAAAATCTGTAAAAATCTTCTCAAGAACCACTGGGTCAGAAAAGCTGAAACTTATGTGGAAGCATCCTGGGGTAGTGTAGATTCATAATTATTCAAATCATGACCCCCGGGGGGAGGGCGAGGCCACAATGGAGAATCAAAGTTTTATATAGAAATACATGGGAAAAATCTTTGAAAATCTTCTACCCAAGAACCACTGGGCCAGGAAAGCTGAAACTTATGTGGAAGCATTCTGGGGTAGTGTAGATTCTGAATTGTTCAAATCATGACCCCCGGGGGTAAGGCGGGGCCACACTGGAGAATCAAAGTTTTACATAGAAATATAAATAAAAAATCTTTGAAAATCTTCTACCCAAGAACCACTTGGCCAGAAAAGCTGAAACTTATGTGGAAGCATCCTGGGGTAGTGTAGATTCCAAATTGTTCAAATCATGACCCCCGGGGGTAGGGCGGGGCCACAATGGAGAATCAAAGTTTTACATAGAAATATAAATTAAAAATCTTTAAAAATCTTCTTCTCAAGAACCACTGGACCAGGAAAGCTGAAACTTATGTGGAAGCCTCCTTGGGTAGTGTTGATAGTAAATTGTTAAAATCATGACCCTCGGGGGTAGGGCGGGGCCACAATGGGGAATCAAAGTTTTACATAGAAATATAAATTAAAAATCTTCTTCTCAAGAACCACTGGGCCAGGAAAGCTGAAACTTATGTGGAAGCATTCTGGGGTAGTGTAGATTCTGAATTGTTCAAATCATGACCCCCGGGGGTAGGGCGGGGCCACAATGGAGAATCAAAGTTTTACATAGAAATATAAATAAAAAATCTTTGAAAATCTTCTACCCAAGAACCACTGGACCAGGAAAGCTGAAACTTAAGTGGAAGACTCCTTGGGTAGTGTTGATAGTAAATTCTTAAAATCATGACCCTCGGGGGTAGGGCGGGGCCACAATGGGGAATCAAAGTTTTACATAGAAATATAAATTAAAAATCTTCTTCTCAAGAACCACTGGGCCAGGAAAGCTGAAACTTATGTGGAAGCCTCCTTGGGTAGTGTAGATAGTAAATTGTTCAAATCATGACCCCCGGGGTAGGGCGGGGTCACAATGGGGAATCAAAGTTTAACATAAAAATATAAATAAAAAATCTTTGAAAATCTTCTTCTCAAGTACCACTGGGCCAGGTAAGCTGAAACTTATGTGGAAGCATCCTGGGGTAGTTAAGATTCTAAATCGTACAAATCATGACCCCCGGGGGTAGGGCGGGGCCACAATGGAGAATAAAAGTTTTACTTAAAAATGTATAGGAAAAATCTTTGAAAATCTTCTTCTCAAGAATCACTGGGCCAGAAAAGCTGAAACTTATGTGGAAGCATCCTGGGGTAGTGTAGATTTCAAAATGTTTAAATAATGATCAGTGGGGTAGGGTGGGGCTGCAATATGTATTACAAGGGGGAAATCTTGTAAAGAAGAAAATGGTCAAAGCTTCTTAGATGAGCGATATGGCTCATGGGCCTCTTGTGTTTTGCTTTATGCCTTTTTCTACATGACTGTACGATGTGGAGAAGAAGACTTGAATAAACACAAATAAAATCAACTTATCAATTTTAGCATGTGAAAACGGTGAATATGGGAAAGACTGCTTAGAAGACTGTAATGAAAACTGTTTGAATGGTGAAACCTGTGACCGATTCTTTGGAAACTGCAGTAACTGTTCTGCGGGATCGAAAGGTCCTATGTGTAATGTGTGTAAGTAAAAGCAAAATATTTCTTCTTATAAGATACTTTAACCATTTTAAAGAAAAACAGAAAGAGGTTTATCCCTAGCTTATTCTTTGTTTCATACCATTTTACCCACGGCAGACATGTTCCAAAGAACATTGTGGACCTCATAATTTTAGATGAAACTTAGTAGTTTTGTCTTGCTATATTTATACGCTGTGATTAAGACATCATTATAAACGAAAATCAGTAAGATAAATTATAGTCCTTTCTACGCTATTTATAGGGGCAATAAATAATTTTTTGTTAGCCCACCTGATACTCAATGAACACAAATGTACAAAAGAACAATGGAGTGTATTCATGTCTGAATTATGTACTTGTGTGTATATTTTTACGGTGCTTTTACATCTATAAAATTCCATCAATTAAGCTTTAAAAGTAATTTAAGGGAAAAAAATTAAAAACATAAAAACATAAGATATCTTCGTATTTTTAAAAGCATGTGACAGTGGAGAATATGGGAGAGATTGCTTAGAGAAGTGTAGTGGAAACTGTTTGAATGGTGAAACATGTGATCGGTTTACAGGAGAATGTAGTTCTTGTTCTGCAGGATGGAAAGGTCCAATGTGTAATATTTGTAAGTACAAACTACCTTTGAATTCCCTTTTGAATAAATATTCTCATGGAACAACGGAGAGAAATTTATACATGTACCATGTCCAACTAATTTCTTTTCTGTAAACATTTGCTTATATATATTTGATTTAAAATCTTTGTCCTTGAACAGGCATACCTTAAGAGGAATCTTTAAAAAGATACCTATTATTAGTTGGATCAGGACTAATATTATATCTTAGGTTATAACAAAAAGAACCTAAAAATGTTTGTGTTCATTGTACGGAAAATTTTAAACAAGATCCTCAGATGTTTTATAAAGATATTATGTTTATCTTATTGACCGTTTGAAGGAAGTTTACATTGTATAACTGGAAAGGACATGCAAGAATTCATGCATTTGCATAATGAATTACTAGTATTTTGATTACCGTATTTCACGTTTGAATTAATTTAGCCTGAAGGATCTCATTTTCCGATTTTCTTTCTATCCGTTGGTCTGCCCGCCCATGAACACCTTTGTTATGACTGAAAACTACTCATAGTTTTCATAATATATGTTTTTTTTTATTTTACGGAGAAATATAAGCAAATTTAAGACACCTACAGCTTTTGGGTATCATATCACTTTGTTTATCTGTCTGCACATATGTTTGAAAATATATTTGTGACACTTTAGCCTTTTCAACGTATCAAAGATTCATTATTTTCGAAACCTTTCTCTTCTGCATTTGCTTTCATAATTAATATTTTATAAATTGGGTTTCAACATTATTTTGAATGATACAAAATATGCTTTATATAAGGAATAGTTCATATACTGTTTTTCTTCCACCAAATGAATATGAAATTCTCTCTCTCATATCTAGCATCTTTAAAAAAATGAAACTTTTTAAAGGTATTTTTACTTCAAAGGCACAAATATTAAGTGTAGAGATCTCTCATAGATTAACAAAGTTACTCATATTAATTGTATACTGTAGATTGCTTTCAAGGAAATTTTTAATACCCAATTTATCATATGTTACGTTAATTCATTTTTTTTTAGACAATAGACACATTCTTAGGGATTTTCAAAATTTTACATTAATAGGACAGGGCAGGGATATGCCTTCACCGCATACCTATAGGGATCCTTTGCGTTTATATATTTACAAGCAGAAAAAAAACATTGTCCTCTCAAACCATTGAAATGAAAATAAGTAAATGGAAAGGTTATATAAATAATGAAAGTGATATGCTTGATTTCTTCCAGCTTGTCACAGCGGAGAATACGGAAAAGATTGCCTAGAAAAGTGTAGTGGAAACTGTTTCAATGGAGACACCTGTGATCGCTTTAATGGAAGCTGTAATAATTGTTCTGATTTATGGAAAGGTGTACTCTGTAACACATGTAAGTGGTAGTCCTCTTGTCGAAATAATAACATTTGAATAATTTCAGCATCCTTGAAACCTCTTTACCAATTTTTTCATATAGCATTTATGGGCGAAGGGGAATAAAAATTGTGATACCTCTTCCCCTGGGACCAAAGGGATGGGGCCCAAACCAATAAAATGGATACAATTTTTAAAAAACTTCCTTACTCCTGGACAACAAGCAGTTAAACTGTTTGCATGATTGTAAAAACCATTGAGCCCTCTACCAAAATTGTGAAATTCATTGTCCCAGCATCAGAGGTTCTGATGTTACGACGGTTCTCTAATGATTATATAGTGTAAATGCATGACTTCTGGGTATTAAACTAATGAACTATGTACATTGTTATGATGAAGAAAGGCGCCTCTTCCAAAATTATGAATTTCATGGCCCATGGGTTAGGGGTTCTGGTGTTAGGGCGGGGCTCTTATGATACTAGTAAACCAACTATTTTTTGCGAAGTCGAGAGCCTTGTCATCGCGAATATTTCTCGCCTCGAACCGGTTCTTAATGTGAATTTGACTATTACTACAGATCCAAATAGGCTTGATCGCGGAAATTAATAGTCGCGAACTAGTTTATCCCTAGTAAATTGCGAAATAAAGTCGTCGCTAATAAAAGTTGGTTTACAGTTATATGGTGAAAATGCATTAATTCTTTCAATTTCTTCTAATCTGCTCCTGTATATTTAACCTATGAATTATGTACTAACTTCTGACGAAGTAGTGAACATAAGGTGCCTCTTCGGCAATTGTAAATTTCATGGTCCCTGGGCGTGGCTTCTGGTGTAATGGCGGTGCTCTAATCATTATATAATACATGCGAAAATGCATTATTTTTTTTTTAAATCTTTTCCTTTGCTCCTGGATATTAAGGTAGTCTGATCCTAGGGTTTATAAAATAAGCAGTTAAGTAATCAAAAATACTCATAAAAGTATCTCTGAATCCACATAGAACTTAATGTTAATTTATTTACAGTATTTCTTTTAAGTTAAAGATTAAAGGTAATCATATTATATAGGGAAAATCGTCAAATATCCAATATTTTGCAGAAAAAGCGAATAGGAATATCAGTTATGCATTTTCTAATTGCAAATTGATCAACAAATATATTTTTGGTTAAAAAACGATAGTTATCCATGCATTCAGAGAAATTGTCATGATTTTTATACTTATTTGGTATTTTTTGTCTTCTATTTCCGTCTGACATGTATTTTATAATACATAGTGTAAAAGGTCTTTGCTATCAATGCAAAACACCACAAATCACTTCTCATTTCATATCATGCTAATACTCATTGGTATCTAAGGCTGGATTCAAGAAAATCTTATTTCTCTAAAACTATATTAATTTTTTTCCTTATATAGGATACAAATGTCAACTTTTATAAGACCTTTTCTAAGACTTCAAAAAACTTTGAAAGATAAAGATAAAGATAAAAGATGAATATAATGAAAATTGTTGCATGAAAAATTTCATTTTCAAGCTCCATTTTTGATGCATTTCAAATTAAATATGAATTTTTGGAGTTATCCTTCCTGGCTGAGGATTGGATATCCTTAAGCCGATGAACTAAAGCTGAACAAGACTCGTAAATACGACCTTTCGATATCATTATCTGCGATACATCAACACCAGGGTATACTCTTCAGATTCGTCACACCTGACTGCTTTATTATCACGGGTATTTGGCGTGGAATTGGCGACCTGTGTTCGTGCTGGTTATCATGCACCACCCTTGTTTACATTTTCTTGCAGTTACTTGTACCTGTCTTTGTTTGTATACTGCACTGACCTGTACAATTATAATTGAAAATTTCCTTGTATCCTACCTTGCTGCATTAGACGAAGTATTACTTTATTATTGTCGCTACCGAGTGCTGTATAACATACGTCCGTCTACACCAGTAATGACTGATTACATAAATAGGGAATAAGTCGTGTACTTTATATAGGGGTCTGCAGGTTTAGCGATTCTCCGAGTAAAATGACGGATACATTGCTTTTACGAATCGTGTTCAGCTTTAAGTACATTGTTATGATGAGGATGAGTACCTCTTCCAAAATTGTAAATTTCATGGCCCCTGGGTCAGGAGCCCTGGTGTTAGGACGGGGCTGTAATGATTCAATAGTGAACATACATTAATTCTTTAAAGGAGGGGGGGGGGGTGTGGGGTTTTATTGTGTGAAAACTATAATAGTAAAACTCTTCATTTTTATACCATATATAACTTACATAAACTTAGATGTACATGCCAAGTTTTGGGGGGAATTTACCGTCCAGGACCCGGTTGTATCAACGGTTCATTAAATTTAATGAATTATTAAGCCTAATGATTCATTAAATTCTAAATGATACATTAGTTAATAAAGTCATTAAAGTGTGTTGTACAAAACCTTTATTAGAGTCTTATTACTCAATGAATCATTAAATATTTAAGAATTCATTAAAGATTTATTAACATTAGGGGAATATCCCACAATGCAATGCATTAATACTTCCGGAGGCGTATCCGTGGGCGTTTCCTTTGTTTACAAAACACCTTTAATGAATTAAGCTCTAATTTAAAATAAAATAGTTTTTTAATCAACCGAATAGAAATAGTTTTAGTTATGACGTGAAAATTAAATAAAATTACGTCATTTAACGAAGTATGTGAGTGTCTTGAAGGATATAGGACTAACTTTTATTTACTGATGGAATTCAATTCAAATGTAATAGAAATCAGGGAAAGAAAATTAATTCTAGCGAAATTCAACTTTTAACCGAACTAATGTAGAGAAATGTCGATATCATAAATACATGATACATGAAACAGGGGGGGGGGGGGGATTATGGAAGGGAAATACAACCAAAAGTCTGTGTATTTGCATGGCTTTCATTCTTATTCTGTCTACTTGTCTATTATTTGGTATTACACGCACCGGGGGGAGGGTTCCCGCTTCTTCCATTTTTTTCTCTTTAAAGTCTGGGGTCGACACATCTTTTTCCTATTTATGCATTCTTATAATTATGCACTCTACCTGATTGATATTATGTAACTCTTTTGTCTCAATATATAAGCTGTTCATATTCGTGCTTATTACATTTCACTTTGATTTTTAGCCGGGCTTATTGCTCAAAGAGCAATTGCCGGCTTATGTGATCCTGTTCAAGACAGGATGTTAACCCCATAGTCGCCATTTTAAAGTTACGTGTAAAAATATAGTTCTTACTCTCAACCGCTTTTGAGATAATACAAACGCTAAATAAAGCAACAAAAATAAAACGAAGTTTTATCTAAATAAATAAACATATTTAGTACCTTTGAAAACTTCAGTCTTAAGTCATAGAACATAGTTCATTGGTGTAAGGAGTTTTGATAATCAGTGTTACATGTATCTTAGTTCTCTACACATACGAAGAAAAGCAGGAGAGGGAACCAGACTGGCCTGTTTGTTTATTTTCAGTTGCGGTACCAGATTAATTCTGATTCTGACAAAATCGGACCGTGGTATTAGGATTGAAACTCACTGTCAGTGTCTTATCATTTATATTGATAGATTTAAAATGATTTTTTCATCAGAATTTTAAATCTGATATTCTTTTTTTTTTTTTATCTGTTAATACAATAAAACTGTTAAACGTATGATTCATGTAAGAAATTTATAATGATTCTACTCTGTAAATGAGCCCGGCTCTCTGTACTTCTGAGTACTTTGATTTTCTCTTCATTTACTCTTATGTTGTTCTATTCTTATAAATTCATTCTTAAAATTCAGTCACACAAACAATGAAACTCATTCAACGAATGTACATGTAGATATAATCATGAAAATGGGAGGGGGTTCTTGCAAACTTCAACTTATTTCTAATAATACCAATAGAAGAAAGTATCAGTATCATTAATAGCAAAGTCACGAAGAATGTTCAATGCAAACAATTAAGAGAAGGATAAAATACGGGAGAGTATCACAACGCAAAATTGAATCACGTTTATCTTTTTGCGAAAAAAGATTCCATATATGTATTGTACATGTAATTATATTGCATTAATTTATTAGTGTCTTTCCGACAATTTTCTAGATGCAGACACTGGTTAATTTTTAGATAACTTAAAATACGTTTTTTAAAGATATCATATTTAAATAAGGCTACAGGCTCTTTTATTCTACTCAAAATATACCTTTCTTAATGCAATGAATAATTAATAACATTTTCTTTTTTGACTTTAGCAATGAATAAAAAAATAATAAACCGTTAAAATATCTCTAAAGCGATTTTTTTTATTCGTTGTTACATGTACTTGTAATAGAAGTAACAGGCTTGTGGCAGTATTTTTCAAAAATGAATAAACGTTTTTTTTAAATTAATTTACATGTAAGAAAATGTTAACACACAAAAAATGACAATCTGTGCAAATATTTCGTGATGGTAGGCTGAAAGGTATGTGTGTGGGAAAGGAGGGGGGGGGGGGGGGCTTGCTATTACAGTATATAGAATGAGATCTCTGATATATTATTCATATGCATGATTTTACTGATACCCGTAAACCTTAAAATAGGAGTGTATTTTATATTTTTACTGTTTATCTTTGTTACAAAGACCTAACCACCTCATAGATGATGACGAAAGAAATGACGTCACTTAGTTTACTAATATACACGAAGGTATTTTGGATTCACTGGGATTACAGTTGGGATTTCTATTGTGATTTGATTTAAAGAAGTATCTTTATACCTATAATTTTGTTGACAAGGTAGGTGATGTATTTGTGATTCCGAATGTCTTATTGTCTATACAGACTGTCCATTATCTTCTTTTTTAAACGGTATCTTTTCCGAATTTCCTTGTCCATAATGTGCAGTGAAAAAGGCTCACAAAAAGTACTTTCTTCTGCCAAGCAGGCAAAACATAAAGTAGGCCGCCATACTTAATGACCACTTAATGAAGCCCCATTACCTTCATTAAAATTGAGGAATTTAATGAAGGTTTAATGCACCGATTCGTTTATTAAAACATTGATACAACGGAATTTAATGACACATTAAAAATAATCAGTTTAATGAAGCTTTAATCATTCATTAAATGTTGATACAACCGGATCCAGGTATCGTCTCAAAATACAGGTATACATTCACTATAGGATTATATAGGAAAATACAAATTTAAGCATTTTAAAGCAAAATATACAACTACTACAAGAGAGATTTTGTTCAAACTACAATATATGTTGAACAATAATGTTGAAATACATGTACATGAAGCACATTCTAAGAAATTTACTATAGTTTACTATAATTTACTAAAGTTAACCATAATAATAGATACTTTGATACTTATTTAAAGTCTAATTATTTCTTCAATTACATTCCGAAGATGTTTTTTTTGTAAAGATGGTTAAATACAAGAAATAGCTCTAGGAATAGAAAAAAAAATATTTCTACCTGAAATTCATAGTAAAATTACTTAGTTTACCTAATTGAAAACTTTGATTTACTTTAGTTAACAATTGGAAACTGTAGTAAACGAAAGTCTACTCAACAATATTTTTTATTAAAGAATTTTAAAAGCAGGCGTTACAAGGTTTATATATCATAAAACTATTTTGCAGCTGTATGTTTGCCGGGAACATATATGATATCGGATACCGAATGTCATAAGTGTCCCATTGGCGAGTTCCAGGATGAGATTGATCGAACTTCCTGTAAGAAATGTCCTCTGGAGCAGAACACAACAGAAACTACAGGCGCACGTTCCGAGAGTTATTGTATTGGTAAAAAATGAAATACATGAAGCACATTCTAAGAAATGTTCTGTTTGTTTGATATGATGGAATCTATTTCACAAGATAGACAGCTTTCCTTTTCGCATTTGCTCGCGCGAGAGGCGTGCAAAAATGACAAATTTTCAAGTTATGATTTTATTATTTATCAAAGAAAAATTTTAAAACGGGTTTCAGCCAAACCAATCCATACCTGTGTGTCTCGTTTAATTCTCTGTTACTTGAAGATAGGGTTAAATTAAGCTCCAGTTTCTTCAATAACAAGTTAACCTAGTTTTATTTTCTCTTTAGCCTCTTGTGAGGATGGCACCGAGTTTAACCGAAATTCTCGCACTTGTAAGGAGTGTCCAAAAGACTTTTATACCAACAGGAGTATCTCAGAGTACTGCATCATGTGTCCCACAGGGTACATCACAAATGGATCCAAGTCAGCTTCGTGCTTCAAGCGACAAGGTTACTTTCAATACTAGTTTCTTTTTGATAGTGTTTATACCTATTCATTTTCTTTAATATTCTGTATTGTTTCATGTGTGTTTGCTTGTGAGAGAGAGAGGGAGGGGGGGAAGAGAGAGAGAGAGAGAAAGAAAGAGAGAGAAGGAGGAGAGAGAAATGTATTAGTGTTGAAATAGATAAAACTTATAACATTACAATATTTGATTGTGTTTGTTGACATATCAAGTAATGTTTCCGTTCCTTCAACCACAGTATTGCAGATATTTTATTCAATCTTTTAATATCAAAATTGAATTTTGAATGACACAACCTTAAATTTGCCTTCTTTTTTCTTATTTTCTCCAATTTCAAGTGTCATGACCCTTCAATTGACGTAGAATGTAGAACAGTGTAGAATTCCCTAAACGTAAAGGAACTATCTGTCAAGTTTGATTGAATTTATCTAGTGGTTCTTGAGAAGAAGTGGGAGATGTGTTAAGTCGAGTACATTTATTTACAAACTGATAAAATATTCGTTATGATTTCTAAAAAAAAAAATATTGTTGTTTCTTCCTGTGTTTTCCTTGATATACACTTTCTGTGTCATTTTGTGTATGAGTTAGAAAAGGTAATAATTTGATTAATCATACAAAAAGAAATAATTATGGAATCAAATTCAATGTCTGACAAAGAATTTAATTGTACATGCTTTTGAAACTGTGTATTTGGCCAAAACTTCAAAAATTAACGACACCACGGTAAGTCCTATATATATGGATTAAGTGACAAACGAAAACCTTGAAGTACTTTGCAGTTACAGAAATGTTAAGAAAGTTAGTCTTGATAAAATATCTTACATGTAATCTGTACCTTTTTTCAGAAAATATAACAAGTACTCCCATACCACCGAAAGAGCAGAAATATTCATTTAACCTTAAATACAGAGCGAATGTCAATTGTTCAGATGAAGAAGCTAAAAATGCGCTCTTGCAACAAATAAGGAAAAAAGTAATCGGTCGACTTATTGAATTAGCAAAGCAGTATCCTAGTATGTGCAACAGAGAAAACGTTAGTGAGTGCTTTCAATCGGTGAAGATAGGTTTAAAGGCATGCAAGGCAACAAACAGGAAAAAGAGATCCATGGATTCTTTTGGTTTAGATATTACAGGAGACATTCAAGTCAAAAGGTATAAATAATTTTTTTTTTCAAAATTAAGTCCGACACCAAAAAAAAAAAAAAAAAACATTCATATCATGGTAAGCTGTTTAATTACAGTGTACTTTATATTTTAAAAAATCAAAATTGTTTGTCCTTAGCTCTTAACCGTAAGCATATCTGTCATCATTTTTTTTAGGAATATTTTTTTTATTTTTTAATGGAAACATGCTGGTTTTCTCAATAGACAAAGTATTCTTTTTTGTAGTCCAACAGTAACAGATAGTAATAAACCTGCAAAAATTGTTCAAACTGAAACAGTTCTACAGGAGGACATAGACACACAGAAAACAGAATATTCACCACAGGTACAGCAAGTTCATATATCACCGATAAAAATGAAAACTTCTTTTCTTATTGACCAAAATCATTTCCTCTTGCAAGTGTTCCCCTTTTGCAATAGGCTGGTAAACAGAGTAATCCGTAAACGATTATGTAGGAAAATGTGAGTTTTAACTTAGCCTAACTGTGTCAATAAACAACGTAGGTTTGTACTTAAGGTATGTCACTCCTGAAATTTGGTAAATCAAGGATTTTTAGAGAAGTACTCAGCAAGTATTGCTCAAAATTGCAGAGAAAATAGGGGGTCAGTGTGCGTCTTACTAGCTACGGTACAATTAAGTTTACCTTTTTGCACTTAAATTTCAACTTTTTTGGTTAATTACTTTAACCTTTATCATATTTCATCAGATGTAACGATGGCAAAAGTTATAATCTTATTTTGCGTAAATAGTTTGAATAATATTTGTCATTGAACAAATCTTTGTAATCAATGCAAGTAAATTATTATGTGACTTTTTTGTAATAAAAAGTGATATATTTAGGGGGTCTTAAAAATCTAAATAGGCAATGAAATATTTTCTTGTATCAAACTTTTTACGACTTAAGTGCTGATCAGTCAAAACTATCGAGTAGTTTAGACAAAAAGGCAAAAAACAGTGTAAATTTTATCTTGACTTTCTTACAATATCTTCATTTCTAGGCAAAGTTTGTTGAGGGAAGGTGTAAAATTTGTTATTAAAATATAAATTGAGACCTATATTAAATATTTGTAGCATATCATAAAGGAAATTATTATACCTCTATTGATAAAACTCGAATTTGATTGGCTGGTAGAAAAACTTTAAAACACAACAATGACTCCAAATGGTACTGTTTACAGCAATACTGACCTAGGAATCATTGCACGTGGGATATAATGACCCGGTCATTATTTTTAATGACCGCTAAAAATGACCGCTTAATCAAAAATTCGTTTTTGAATAAAGTTAATGCATAAAATATTAATTATTCGAAAAAAAAAACATTTTTTTAAAATTGTGCACGGTCTGTTTTGCATTACTATACAGAATACGGTGAAATTTTATCATTACAATATTATGAATATATCGTTTCAATATATCGTTACAATTCAGTTCAATAGAATGTAGAGGCGGCTCTTTAAAGAGTTGAATTCTGTGTAAGATTTTGACTGTGTAGAGGAAAAGTAATCGTTAGCTATAACAATGTATGTAGCTATCAACTAAATATTGTTTTAATCAGTAAATCATGATGCAAAAACTTACACGACTTGCAGACGTCAATGTAAACAACTTCGCTATCCGGTCTGTATCGAATCCCGATCCCGAACAAAGAAAGAATTGATAACGGTTAGAAATTCATACTTTTCAATATATATCGGTATAATAAAACAATTAATTACCCCTTGTGAGTTCAACATGGTGAAATAAGGTTCCTCGACCTGGCCCACTCGATGACCTGCCCTGACCTCAGCCGCTACGCGGCCTCGGTCAGGTCAGGTCACCTCGTGGGCCAGGTCTCGGGTCCTTATTTCACCATGTTGACCTCACAAGGGGTAATTAATTGTATAATATTCCCCGAGTAAATAAAAGTATGTGAGACTATTCCAAGGTATTAAATTTAATACATGAATGTGCAGATTTGCAGAATTTTCTGCTAAATATCCTTCCACCACAAGAAGTCCCTCATAAATCTTGTTTCTTTGTGGATTTTTGATCAGTTTTTTTTCATCGAATGTTAAATAATTAGCATTGTTGCATTTTAATATGTTATAAAAATTGAATTATGATCAATAATTTTGAAGAAAACTGACGATGAAACACCATAACTGTAGGTTGTATTTGCAAGAAAAGTCACTGTATCGGCCCTAGAAATAACGCTATATAGTGGAGTGACAATCCTAGAAAAAGATGCTTAGTTTTCGAGTTTAATGGACCGGCATACCTTACGGCTGAAAGTTATATTTTATAAAAGAGACATCCCTCCTCATACATTTTCGCCCGGTCGTAGAGTTTTCGCAAGTCAAATTTTTTTTTAACTTGCGATGAAAGTGAAAAAAGGGGGGGGGGTATTTAAGTCGTGTATTTTACTTGCTGATAATACTCTTTTTCAAAGATTAATTATTGATTTAAAAAAATACTAATTTATGTGTGATAGGATAGCTACAGGTATCTAAATTTACAATGCAAAATTAATCAGGAATATTATTTGTCCCCCCCCCCCTTTTAAAATTTTTTTTTTTTTATGTTTTGTTATAGAAACTGCGTTAATTTCAACAAAATATATTCAGTAGATTTATTTCATGCAATATTAATAACGAATGTACGAAATCCTACAAGGGTCAAATTAGAAAATGAAGAAAAAAAAATTAAGTCGTAATAACGACTTTTTATCTCGTTATTACGACTTTTTATCTCGTAATAACGACTTTCTTAAGTCGTAATAACGACTTTTTATCTCGTTATTACGACTTTCTTAAGTCGTAATAACGACTTTTTATCTCGTAATAACGACTTTTTATCTCGTTATAACGACTTTCTTAAGTCGTAATAACGACTTTTTATCTCGTAATAACGACTTTCTTAAAGTCGTAATAACGACTTTTTATCTCGTTATTACGACTTTTTATCTCGTTATCTCGTTATAACGACTTTATTAAGTCGTAATAACGACTTTTTATCTCGTTATTACGACTTTCTTAAGTCGTAATAACGACTTTTTATCTCGTAATAACGACTTTCTTAAGTCGTAATAACGACTTTTTATCTCGTTATTACGACTTTCTTAAGTCGTAATAACGACTTTTTATCTCGTTATAACGACTTTATTAAGTCGTAATAACGACTTTTTATCTCGTTATTACGACTTTTGATCTCGTAATAACGACTTTCTTAAGTCGTAATAACGACATTTTATCTCGTAATAACGACTTTCTTAAGTCGTAATAACGACTTTTTATCTCGTAATAACGACTTTCTTAAGTCGTAATTACGACTTTTTATCTCGTTAATTCGACTTTTTTTAGTAAGATTATATTCAATAGTTTGCTATTTTTTACCTTTCCGTATTACGGAAACGTATGACCGCGCCTCGTGAAGCATATTTATACATCAAACTGACAAAAGAAAATGAGTACGTTGTATCATCTGCTTATCAGGCACGTTGCAGGGTGGGGGTGGAGGCTTCCCCATTATTTTCTCAAACATAACTTTCCTGCTGATGAAAAAGTTCATTGCCGCCCCCCCCCCCCCCCCAACACTTTTTGTTGCAATTAATATAGCCAAATAAGGATGATGTGGTAGTTTAATTTAAATCTGGTACGGAAAGAAGTTGCCAATATATGGTAATTTGGTTATATATAGCATAGACTTTCACGTTGATATTTTGAATGTTTTTGTCTGTGAACGAGGAATGTAAAAGTACATTTGAACAACAATTTAAACCCCTTTTTTGCAAAGAAATACATAATGTAGTCTACATAGGCATTGATAATTGGGGCTTACTGAGTAGCCCCCGAACATTTTTTTGTTGGTTTACCCTCCCCCCTTCAGTTTGCTTTCGACACGCGCTTATGTATCATATATAATATTTTGAAATGATTTCTGCGATGTGCAGCACTAATGTCTTCAATTTAGCGGCATAATGATTTAGATTATAAGTGTGTAAACAAAACAAGTCCAAATATAGTCAATAATTACAGATTATAATAAATATAAATAAATAAATTGTCAAACTCTTGTGCAACTGTTTTGACAATTTTATAACTAAACAATCATCGCGTTTTCAGCTGCACGACACCGTTATACCGGGCACGTTTCCGTTTTATCTCCTAGAAAGGTCAAGTTAAAAAAATGTTTCAAATGGAAAAAAAAATAAATAAAAAGTCGTTATAACGACTTAAGAAAGTCGTAATAACGAGATAAAAAGTCGTTATTACGACTTAAGAAAGTCGTAATAACGAGATAATAAGTCGTTATTACGAGATAAAAAGTCGTTATTACGAGATAAAAAGTCGTTATTACGAGATAAAAAGTCGTTATTACGAGATAAAAAAGTCGTTATTACGAGATAAAAAGTCGTTATTACGACTTAATAAAGTCGTTATTACGAGATAAAAAGTCGTTATTACGACTTAATAAAGTCGTTATTACGAGATTAAAAGTCGTTATTACGACTTAAGAAAGTCGTAATAACGAGATAAAAAGTCGTTATTACGAGATAAAAAGTCGTTATTACGACTTAAGAAAGTCGTTATTACGAGATAAAAAGTCGTTATTACGACTTAAGAAAGTCGTAATAACGAGATAAAAAGTCGTTATTACGACTTAATAAAGTCGTAATAACGAGATAAAAAGTCGTAATAACGAGATAAAAAGTCGTTATTACGACTTAAGAAAGTCGTAATAACGAGATAAAAAGTCGTAATAACGAGATAAAAAGTCGTTATTACGAGTTAAAAAGTCGTTATTACGAGATAAAAAGTCGTTATTACGACTTAATTTTTTTTTCTTCATTTTCTAGTTTGACCCTTGTAGGCTTTCGTACGAATGTTTACTTAGCGTTAGAAAGATTTATAAGAATAATTTCTGATCAAATAAACAGCACTTTTTTAAAAGACATCCTCACACTAAGTCTTGTATTCTACTTGATCTGAAATGTTTTTTTGTAACTGGAAACGGATTATAGAATCCAATCATGTCTATGACAGTGACTACGCCGATCAAAATATTGTTAAATATATTAAAATGGCTTCTATTATTAATAATATAACGCTAATATTCAGCTTGAATTGAAATTAATTATCTTGCAGGTATCTTGCATGATTGGATATTGCCTTTCTGCTTCATAAGCAATACTGATTAACACAAGTATGATACAGAAAGAGAAAAATGATTTTAGTATTTCATCTTAAAGACTGTCTATCACTTTACAGAAACTATTTCATGTTTCCTTCGGAAATATATTTAGTGTTTTCTACAGCAAAAACATGGACTTTGTCATTATTCAA